GGAGCCGGAGGACTGGCCGCTGTGCTGCGTGGGGAGGGTGCAGAGATTTAACACTAATCGCGCTGTGGGGAGACCCCTGCCACATCTTAACCTCCGCCTGACGTCACAGCCTGCTGGGGTCCCCCTGCATGCGCCAGGCCAGCAGCCCAGGCCCCGGCAGCCCACGTGAGACAAAGTGCTCATGGCGGGAAGGAGTTTTACTGGGCTTCCAGGGAGCCATGACGGTTACATCCGAGTTCCTCCCTCCGCCTAGGGCGCGGTTCCTGGTGCACAATGCTTTGGAGAAAGGACTTGCCCCACAAGAGCTATCTGCCTAGGGTGGCACCAACAACGGCCCATGCTGCCATGCCCCTCCCCATCACAAGCACCCGGGAAGGGGCGGAGCATGTAGCCCCCGCCAGCCGCTGGACAGGCCATGCCCTGGAGAACCCGCACGGCGGGCGCTTTTATTTCAGCCAGCTGGCAGTCTGGTGCCTTGTTTGAATCTCGCCAACTCATCTGCCCTGCTCTCCCTGGCAGGGAGCTCTAGAGACCCTCGATTTCCGTGGAACCATTTTCCTTCCAGTCCCGTGCATTTAACCTTACCTTGTCCTTCCCTCCCGACACACAGAGCTCCGGCGTGAGCGCGGCCACAGAGGTGACGGCGTCCGTGTGAGCGGGGCTGTACCGCCGCACGGCGGGCGCAGGGCTGGCCTCTTCCACCTGCTCAGGCCTGCCGAAGGGAGAGAGACAGCAGCAGGGAGGTCAGGGTGCGCGACCGAGCCATCCTCGCCCCGCTTCTCAAAGCGCACGGGAGGGGAGCAGCGCCCGCCTGGGGAAGGAATGCTGCACGCCGAGATGCTGGAGAAAAGCAAGCCAACCCGCAGGCTCTGGGCAATGGAAACAAGGCTCCTAGACGGGGCAGAATTGGTCTTTTCCAACCCTAATTCCTAACCCGTGGTCCCAGCTGCAGTTGGCGATGACGTTCGACTCGGCCACTGGACCAACAGTTCCCACGGGTTTTGCCTCGTGATAGCCCTGACCTCCCTCCTGCGGCCCTGTGCCCTTGGCGGGTGCGCTCATGGGCCGTATCCCATCTCCCCACTCCCCGAGAAAGGGAGAGTTTAACTCGCTCAGGCCACTGCCTGGCTCCCACTCTCGGGGGCTGGGCGGCTCACGGCTTCTCCCAAGCGCTGGGCAACCCCTCCTGCCCCCCCACTCAACAGGTGCCAGCCCTGCCCAGGCACCACTCGGAGGCAGGCTGGCTCACTGCGAGCACCAGACAAAGCTGAATGCATCACTGCAGGTCTCCCAACCCAGAGACCCCCTTGCCCCCAGCCAAAGGGGGAAGGGCACCCTTTAACCGGGCCTGGCCCAGGCTGCCCGCTGTGGGGGGAGGGGGAGGTGGCAGTGGCATGGCTAGAAAGCAGGTGTGAAAAGTTGGGGGGGGGGAGGTGCCTTTACAAAGACAAACCCCAAACGTGGGACCTGTCCCTATAGATCAGGACGTGCGGTCGCCCTGCCTTAAGCCAGGTGGTGAGGGGCTCCCTGGGGCTCCCCTCTGCTCCCCATACCCATGGAAGGAAGCTACGGCACCCGGCTGTCCTGGGAGCCACTGTCCTGCAGGGCTAAGGGCTGTCTGCGTCCCCCCGGCAAGTGGAGCCACTTTCCACCGAGAGCCAGTGCAGCCAGGTCCTCTGCCCCTCGCTAGGAACTGCCCGGCCGGGCGTCAGAGCGCCAGCGAGTGGCCGGGGAGAGGGGAGATCCAGCTGTGTCCTGCCAGCACCTCCAGCCAGCCCATGG